AGTATACAGAAGATCAGCTTAGTATACCTTAAGTAAGGATTTCAACAGTTTGTTCCCACACAGAAACATAAAGTGAAAAATAATAGATGATTTTTTTTTAAATGATGATGAAATCAGATCAGACCTATTGTCATGTTTAATCCCAGTGAGAGTCAAGTTGGGAATTGATAGTTTCTTTTCTTTTTTTTTTTTTTTTAACAGAAGATCAGTTTAGTGTACATTAAGTAAAGATTTCAACAGTTTGCACCCCCATAGAAACACAAAGTGAAATATACTGTTTGAGTACTCGTTATAGCATTAAGCCTCAGTGTACAGCACATTAAGGACAGAGATCCTACATGAGGAGTAAGTGCACAGTGACTCCTGTTGTTGACTTTACAAATTGACACTCCTGTTTATGGCATCAGTAATCTCCCTATGCACCAGTCATGAGTTTCCAAGGCTATGGAAGCCCCTTGAGTTCTCCGACTCTTATCTTGTTTAGACAAGGTCATAGTCAAAGTGGAGGTTCTCTCCTCCCTTCAGAGAAAGGCACCTCCCTCTTTGAAATCATGGTTCTCTTTTGAGACAGTTGCTGGGGACTGACCCAGGGTGAGAAGCTGAGTGACCAAAACAAACTAGATTCTTCCCAACAGCCACACTCCCCTCCCCTGTGACTGCAGGGGACCGTAAGGAATCAACGTGTTTTGTTGCCTTAAATTTGTATTTATTTTCATTATTTTTATTTGATGGCAGGGACCCAAGTACTCAAGTCATTGGGTGTGCATTAGCAAGAAGCTGGAATCAGAAGCAGGAACACGAACCCAGGGATTGTGACCTGGAGGTGAGCGTCCCAAGCAGTGACTTCAGGGCCAGGGCCAACACCTGCCACTCAACCCGGAGGACAAAGCCACATAGATCTTGACCTCTACGTGCCCCTGAAATCCCAGTGCTCGCTCTTCCCCAGAGACAAAAGGAGAGGTAGGGGCAATTGATAAAAAGCAGTTCTTGATTTGTTGGAGAGAGAGAGAGAGAGAGAGAGAGAGAGAGAGAGAGAGAGAGATCTCCCATCTGCTGCTTCACTCCCTAAATGCTCACAATGACCATGGCTGGGCCAGGCCAAAGCTGGGATTCCATAATGCAATCCAAATATCCCATGTGCCTGGCAGAGACCCCGGTACTTGAGCCATCACCTGCTGCCTCCCAGGGTGTGCATTGCTGGAATCAGAGGTTGGGCTAGGACCAGCACCCACCCAACTGTCTCATCAGCCAAGCCAAGTGCCCGCCCAGCTTATATATTTTGCCCAACAGTCATCTAAGCTTAACCTTGGGACTCCCCCCAACACTCCACCAATCCAAGACGCACATCATTATGAGGCAACCATGGTCTTGCATTGGTCTGGTTCTTGCCTGTCCTGAGGAAGGCCATCCGTGGGTCAGGTGCCCATCACCCAGGGGGTAAGGGGGCCGGGTGCCTTTCTGCTTGTCCTGGGCTCTGCAGGCTCCTCCAGGAGAGAGCAGTCATCAGAGGCAGGTGTCCTTGCAGACAAAACCTGTGCACCCCCACCCAACCCTGCAGGCGCCCCTCCCTGACTCTCCCCACCCTGTCCATGATTCTCTCCTCACACCAGGAGCACTCCTGCCTCCTCATGCTGGTGAGCACCCACCTGCAAGACCGATGGTTTCTATCCTGTGTCTCTCCTGCCAGCCGAAACACACATGAGTCTCCGTAGGGTGAGTGCTGTGTCTCCTCCATCCCTGAAACCCACCCCCAATAACAGCTCCCAAAAGATAATGAGAGGTACTATTATTTCTAGAACCTTCTACCCTTGCCTGCACACTCAGCTATGCCGTAAAACAGCGTCCAGCTTGCCGTGTCTGAATCGGGGAAGATGCTACTCATGAGCAGGTGCAAACAACGCCTCATTGCACTCCTCGTATTGGGAGACCCACAGCTGGGAGAGGCCTTGGGCAGCTTTGCTCACTTCTGCCCCTGAAATCTTGGGTCTCAGAAGGTTGTTGGGGGTTTTTGTGGGATTTTCTTTTTTTTCTTTCTTTCTCCTACTTTGATGTCTAAGAGGCTCAAGAAAGTGCAGAAACACACAGGGGAGCCCCGAGAACATGAGTCAAGCACGTGCCTTCTCGTCCACGGAGGAATGAAGAAGACAGGACGTGCCCACTCGCTAAGCTTAAGTCACCCGAGCAGCTGTAGACTTAGCCACAGAAAAACCGCTCTGCTTATAAAAAAAAAAAAAAGGGCAGAATATCCCTCCAAGCTGGCTGTTTGGAAACAGGACAATGTGAAGGACCCCTCTCACCCCAGGGGACAACACGCCTGGGGACAGAGCACAAAAGCCCGCCTTGCTAAAGGAAAATCCGTCAGTGGCTGCACTGGTTTCCAGTGTGCACTGCCCACGGCCGCCTCCATGCAATGAGCCAACCCCTGTAGAAGCCGCCAGGACTCCAGTTTAATCAAACTCACAGCAGCTGGAGAGAAAGTGCCACTCAGCCCGCCCCCACCTATGGGGGTCATTTCAAAGTGTGCAGGGGGAGCTAGGGGTGACACAGGCAGGGAGAGGAGGTTCAGGGGAGGAGGGGGTTTCTGACGTCCAGGGCTCAGGGTCCATCTTCTGCGTCTACTCCTCGCTGTCGGGCCCCTCATCGCTGTCCTCGCCCAGGGGAAACGCTTTGGGGGTCCTCTGGGTTGCAAATGCACGAGTGTCCATGGGGCATCCCTGGTTCAGGATAGCCTGTGGTGAAACCGCAAGAGAGAAGTCACTGCCCATCTCAGACCCCACGCTGGCCGTACGCCCAAGTTCAGCGAGGCTCAGGGAAGGCTCCAGACACACAGGCACGGGAGCTTCATGCACAGGCAAGGCTCCCCGAGGTACCCAGGTGTCTCAACCCTAGCCAGGACAGACATCTGTCGTGCAGCTAAGGGTAAGCGGCAGCAGGAGCTGGCTGGAATTGGCACCACTGCCATCAGACTGTCTCATCCTCTGTTCTATGTCCTCCCCTAACCCACCCAGACCCCACGTGCCCACACTGTTGTAGGAAGAAAGCTCCTCATGACCTAAAACCACATGTTGGGGATTTCGCCCTTGGGAAGATGACCCAGAAGGCTGATGGGAGACTGGATGAGTGAATGAATGAGCAAGTGAATGAATGAATGAGATCAGTGGCGCTGGGCAGCCCACTCTTGAAGGGGATGAGCCAGTAAGCCACACCTTGCTGGTAACCACAGCAACCACAATGCAGCTGCAGCTCTTGAACCCTGCTCCGTGAACCTCCTGTCTCCTTCCCTCCCTCGTCTGCCTAGCCCAGGTCAGAGGGGACGAGGCTACTTGGAGAAGGGGAGTTAGGGGAGGGCACGAAGGAAAGACAAGGATGGGAAGGGAGTCTGAACATGTGGAGACACAGAGAGGCTGGGGGAAGGGAACACGGGATCAGGACGGGGACGGGCATCTAGGGCCCTTACGAGCTTCTCCTCCTTGGCTGGGGGACTCCGCAGGCAGTAGCAGAGGGGCGCGTAGGCGATGTTGATGACCCCGATGATCACCATGAGCCCGGGGAAACCGATGGCTCGCACGATGGCACCCGCAGTGGACGGGCCTGGGAAAAACAAACCCGGTTCCCAAGGTGATACTGAGCCTGGATCCTGGCAGGTGACTCAGAAGATGTCATGGGGCCAGCTATCTCTGGAGGCTGGCGCCTTATGGTTGCACCTGCAGCTGCCTGGTGGTGGATGGGGTGGAGGGGTCCCATCCGGGGGGTCCCACCCCCCACCACATACCTACTGCAAAGCCCAAGCAAAAGGCCACATCTGCAATGGCATAGACACTCCCATACACCGAGGTGTGGCGCAGGTCCACCAGGTGACCCATGATGGGCATCAGGGAGGAGTCCACCATGCCTGTGGGTACAGCAAACGACGCTGCCAGCCAGCGTTGCCCACGTGGGGCATCCCTCCGCCCCTCCTCAGCACACACACTCACTCCAGGCTGGAATCATGAGCCCACCACCCCTTCACACCCCTGCTCCATCCCTCACCCCCATGAGAAAAGACGGGAGAAAGATCTGAACCCAAACTCAGCCATCACGGCTTCCCGCTTCCTGGGAGAGCGCCTCCTACCTATGGCAAAGCCAAGTCCTGCGTTGGGACCAATGAGGCTGAAAATATTGGGAGCCAGAGGAACCTGCCAGGGGAAAGAGGAAGAGGTCATCAGGACCCGCCCAGCTGGCGGGCGGGGCGGGGCTCAAGGGTTCCCATGGAAACACATGAGCAAACTGAGTGCTGTTATCCACAGCACTGGGGCTCCCTGTGCACCTGTCACCGAGCTGTGGCTTGGAGGCTGTCGGAATCCTCTCTGCAGGGGTGAGGGGTGCAGGACCCAGCTCAAAGTCGCACCGACAGCAAGGGGCCAAGCTGGGACCGGAGCTCATGCTCCCAGTCTGGTCCTTGTCTCCCCCGCACCTAGGGGCAGGTGCGTTTCTGCTCCCCATGGGGAGGACCTCTCTCAAAGTAGAAGGGGCCCCTCTTTCTTCTACCTAACATTCTGGTGCCAAAAGCTGAGGCACGGATCATGGATCCCCTGGTAACTTAGGGGGACCTGTCAGGGTGGCAGGGATCACGGAGTCATCAAACGGCCCCATCTGCTTCAAGTGCCCGTGTATAGTCTCAGGCCTCTGGCTACAGCCGACCTATGGTCCTCTCTCCTCCCCGCAGTGGGATTCACCTCCCCTGGCGCATCTCCCCAGCACTCAGCTGCTCCCTGTTCAGAAGCAGACTTCACGACCGTCCTCACCAAGTCAACCCTCTTCTCATTTTTCAGGAAAGCGGCCTTTAGATGTCTAGTTTGCGCTCTCTCCCTCTCTCTCTCTCTCTCTCTCTCGCCTGATTGTACTTACGCAGAGCAAGCTGACTCCTACTACCACCATCCCAATCAGGGAACACAACCACCTGCAAGAAAAGCACCCCCATCAGTGCTCGGGGGGAGATGCCCCCCACCTGCCGCCTCTCCCCACCACACAGGCCAGAGTCCATCCCAACTCCATCAACTCCTTGGGACCTGAGAAGACAGGAGCGGTGTCTGTACAGCGGCTTTGCACCCAGCCGAGAGGTCCCTGTCCTGGCCCCATCTCTCTTCCCACAGCAGAGCCAGGGCAGGTGCAGTGGGACCTGCTCTTGCTTCCTTTAGAAGAGGAATCGCTGGCCCAGAAGGTTCTTAACCCTTGTGTGTAGCCCTCCTCCAGCTCAGTTCACGCTCTTTTTTAAGTTCAGACCACCTGCTACCTATTTGTATTCCACCGGGTCTCTGAGGTCCAGCTCAAAATCCTGTCCAACGACTTCCCTTCTCTGGTTTCCTATGGCAGAGTTTAGTGTTTACATCTTTTTTTTTCTTTTTTTTATTATATGGGTTTTTTTATTTTTATTTTTTATTTTTTGACAGGCAGAGTGGACAGTGAAAGAGAGAGACAGAGAGAAAGGTCTTCCTTTTTTGCCATTGGTTCACCCTCCAATGGCCGCCGCAGCCAGCGCACTGTGGCCGGCGCACCGCGCTGATCCAATGGCAGGAGCCAGGTACTTATCCTGGTCTCCCATGGGGTGCAGGGCCCAAGCACTTGGGCCATCCTCCACTGCACTCCCTGGCCACAGCAGAGAGCTGGCCTGGAAGAGGGGCAACCGGGACAGAATCCGGTGCCCCGACTGGGACTAGAACTCGGTGTGCCGGCGCCGCAAGGTGGAGGATTAGCCTAGTGAGCTGCAGCGCCGGCCAGTGTTTACATCTTGATGTTGACGTCCAGGGGTAAAACAGAAGTTATCCCCATGGTAGTGAAGGAAGGAAAACTGGACTCCTATCTCTTGACCCCTAGCCTTTTCTTCCTTTGGGAGTCTTCAAGGTACCCCCAGGGAACTCCCCAGTGTTCCATGGCACCTAGTTTGACAACCCCTGCCTCCCAGCGCCGCCTTCTGCATAGCTGTTCTCCAGCAGAGTTCCTTGAAACCTCCCACTGGATTGCAGGTGGCTGGAAGGGCAGAGCTGTCCGTCAAGTACCCACTGCCACTTCCAACAACAACCCCCACAGCAACCCCCCAGGAAGCACTGTGCTCACGACCCAGCCGCCCCCTCCTCCCAGTGAGCGGGTCTGATCGGTGTGCACTGTCCTCTCAACTTTCAGTCTCCCCCACACACACCTCAAAGGGCCCTCCCGCCTGACACTGCTGTCCCTCTTCCCAGACCCCTGGGGCTACGTACCGACCCATCTTGTTGGCCAACACGCCAAAGAGGTTGGTGCCAATGAGGTAGGACACACTGGCAGGCAGGAAAGCCAGACCTGTGGAAAGATACAGACCGCCCCTCCCTTCAACCTCAGGGCATGCCAAGTCCACCCCAAAACACCTTGTCTCCTTCTAGAGAGTGGAGCTCCCCTCCCTGGTTACCTTCCAGGACCCCAGACCAATTTGTGGCATGGTTTAGGAGTCCTTGTGCAAACCCAGGGCCAACGTCATGGGATTGTCCCACCCCTACACACAGCTCTCTGTCTTCCTGGGGAGCAGGGCAGTGTTTAACCTCCAAACGTTTCATGGGCTTCTGACCCCACACCGAGACTTCCTGGCCGACGGCCCTAATGAGTCACTGCCATGAACGTGATACGTGGGATGATCAGGATGAGAACGGGAGCTACAGAGAAAGACATGAATACTCACTGGAAAGTAAAATCCCTGCTTGCTACTGCTTTGCTAGTGACTTGGACAAATTACCTAACTATCTGAGCCTCGATTTCTACATCTGGAGAAAGCAAAGGCACCATGTATTAGATTAGGTTCCAGGGAGGAGCAAATTAGATCATGCATGTAAAAGTACATGCGTGTAAAAGTAGTTAGTGCATTGAAGTCCTGGCCACATGGCTTTTTAATGTGACAAGAGAGCCAAGTGTTCTGGAAACATGAGCTTTGGAGCCATATGAAACTGGGTTCCAATCACGGAGCGGCCACTTTTTAAGGCCGTGACACGGAGTAATGCCCTCACTCTCTCTGAGTCTTTTATTCATTACTTTTCATGAACTTTTACCGTGTACCATGTATCGTTTAGCAAGGAATAGCATAATCCAAGGATTGAAATGCTTAGTAGATCAAGTGGAGGCTCCAGGCTGTTGCATGTACAAATCTGGAGCTCCGAGGGGCAGTCATCATCACAGTTATAAATGGGAGATCATTAGTTTATATGTGGTCCTTCACGCCACGGGCATGGGTGGGATCCATGGGCAGAGATAGGAGAGGGAAGGGCAGAGACCCAGTGTCTGAGCCCCGGGGACCTCCAGCCTTGGAACGCCAGCACAGGCAGTGAGGAGAAGCCCGGGAAGTGGGTGACAGGGCTGGGATTCAGAGCAGCTGGGGCTTTCCCCATAAATAGAGAGAAGGCAATGCCTGCAAGTGCAGCAAGTAGACACACTGGCTGACGGGGCAGGCGAGCTCCTTCCTCCTGGCTTCCAGCTTTCAGTGATTGGCGAGGAGGGAAATACAAGGGCTAAGGGTGATGACGTGAAAGAAGAGGGCACGGGGAAGGTTTGGATGGGGAAATGTGCAATCGTCATTTGGAAGTGGAAAGGAAACCGCGAGCGGGGACCTCCAGAAAGGCTGTTAGATGGACTAGGAGCCCACTTTGGACCTGTGGCCATAAACACAAGGTGAGGGGAGCGTCCTGGCTGTGGGTCATTCCACAGCCCCATTCCTCTGTTCAGATACAGACAAGGAGCAGGCAACCCAACAGGTTCAACCACGGTTCAGACTCAGGGAGAGAGGGGTTTCCAAGGAGTAACATTGATGACGGACAGTGGAATTCAAGCTGAGCAAAGAAAGACGTGAGGACATGAGCAGTAACAGAAATAGAAAGACTTGAGGCCAATGGGCCGCAGCTTCAGTGTGGCCGAAAGTGACCTGGGGACCCAGAACACCTGAGCAAAGGACATGGCCAGTGCTGACCGGCAGCCTTGGAGTTGAGATTTCAGAGGAGATATAATTACTGGTGATGCCAAGGTCAAGGGTGAACTTAGGGAGCCAGTGTTGTACTGCAGTGGGTTAAGCTGCTGCCTACAGTGCCAGCATCCGATATGAGCCCCTGTTCAGGTCTCATCTGCTCCGCTTCCAATCTGGCTCCCTGCTAACGCACCTGGGAAGGCAGCAGAAAATGGCCCAAGTGCCTGGGCCCCTGCACCCAGTTGGGAGACTACTGGAAAAAGCTCCTGACTCTGGCTTCAGCCTGGCACAGCCTTGGGTGTTGCAGCCATTTGAGGAATGAACCAACAGATGTTAGATCTCTCTCCCTTCCTATCTCTCCCTCTCTCTCCCTCCCTCTCTCTCTCCCTCTCCCTCTCTCTCTCCCTCTCCCTCTCTCTCTCTCTCTCTAACTCTGCCTTTCAAATAAGTGAATACAATCATTTTTTTAAAAAGCGCATATGAAACAAATATGCATAGGATTGTAAAATAATCATAATAACAGCAACAACAATCACAATAAGAATTAGAAGAGTAGGTTAAGGATGGGACCCAGATGTCGGCAGTGTTGATCCACAGGATGCTGAAGTCACGGGAGGGCAGGTGAAAAAAACATGACCGAGCTGCCAACAGCTCAGGAAATGACAGCCAGGAAGAGGGCTGGGGTGGCAGAATCTAAGGACACTGGGGTGTCATATGTCACCACCTGGGGTCTTAGAGGGAGAACCGAGAAGAGACAGCCCCACTGCAGCAGAGGTAAGCATGCCTGGAGGGACATGGGTGGACACAGATGGGGTCCCTGGAAAACATCCAGCCTTGGCAGGGCAGGAAGACCCAGGACGTGGCTCAAAAGAGGGTGAGGGGCTGGTGTCGCTTGTGGATTTGGAAGGGCCATGCAAAATCAGGTCGAACCCAGCAGTCCCTCAAACAAGGAGACGCTGATAACTCCTAGCACACGGATAGGCTGTGAGGCTCAAATGGGAGCATGCGTGCCAATGGCTTTACCCAGCACCTGGTGCAGAGTAAAATGTCCTGTGAACATGGGCCTTACTTATCAGAGCCATAGCCAATGAGTGACGGGTCACTCCAATGCCAGGTGTCCTTGCTACTCCACCCCAGATTTGCGGCAGCACAGGAAGAGCTGCCGGCAGTGAGTCTGGGTCCCACGAGCCCTCGCTACCCATCTCTGCAACCTAGAACAAACCATGCAGATCATACAAAAAGTCACGATTCCAATTAAACCAGAAGTCAAACATTCACCAGTTACTGGCTGACGGTGTGTTTGCTTTTCATATTCTCGTCTATGGGATCCAAGCAAAGTGTGCCTGATTATATTTGTCTAATCTGCCTGTCCAAGGCGGCAATCTGGTTCAAACCGTACTCATTTGTTTATATTTAATTGCTTTAAAAATGTGGAGGTTATGATGAACCCAGCTGTTTATCTACGCTGCAGAAATGGGCACCGCCAGCACGCTCATTGGCCCTGATACATCTCCTTGCCATCATTTTAAATGGTGTGGAATTTCCTGCACCTAAGTCTCCTCAATGTGCATGACATTTTTCCTGAGGATCTGGTTATCGCATGTATTTCAGAAATATGCTATGCAAAAAAAAAAAAAAAAGTGCTCCAGACATGGTCTATAACATATCCAAGCAGAGCAGGGCTGGGGTGGAGGGTGGGGAGGGAAGTCACAAAAAAATGACTGTTGAGATTATTTCAACAGAAATGCTTACAAAAACCATTCGTGGTCACAATTCTGCAGGACCAAGCTTGCCCCGTTGTTCCAGGCGCTCCGTCAATCCCTTTAGAACACATAGATCAAAACCACCTTGAAAGGGGTCTCCACTATCCAAAGAAGTGGCGACCAGGGTGTGGCCAGGGCCAGGACCCAGCCTGGGCGGACCTGTTTCAGAGCCCAGAGGCTGTTTGCTCCGTTCCGCTAACTGTTCCAAGCCCACAGCAGCTCTGGGACTCCGGGCTCCATCACAGATCTCAAGCAGTCTCAGACACTTCAGTCTCCCCTGCAGCTCCCAACAACCCCAGGGAGCTGTTCCTGGTGTGGGGGCAATGGCTTTCAAGGTGCACACGCACCCCACCTGGAATCCTACTGTGACTGTGCGCTTGCTTTTGCTGCAGCGACCCGAGCCTTAGCAAAGCTCTCCGGGTGATTCTGAGCTCATCCCGGTGAACCTCTGAGTTCCAGCTGCAGTTTCCAGCTGCAGAGAGCGAGCCCTGAGGGAAGCTGTCCTGGATGATGGGCGACTGGCAGTGGAGGAACTCGGGGACTGGGCTATTGGGGAAGGACCGCTCCACGGCAGACACACTCAGACACCAAAGCCCAAGTGGCCAGAACCTCAGGGCAGCGGCTGTGCCATATTGCCCTGAACGCAGATGACCTCAATCAGTCATCATGATCAGTGGCAGGTGCAGCCAGAAAAAAATTCAATTTGGAACTAAGAGTGCAGCTGCCAGGCTTGCTGGCATTGTCCTCTTAAAAAAAATTAGATTTCGCGCTTCTGATTGCCTGCTGAGCTGCATCGGGTTCTTATCAGTGTCTGTCTCCTGCAGCACTGAGCGGTTTGCACGCAGCCCTTCCTGCCCTCTTGCCCCAGCCTCCCTGGGGAGGGCTGCCGTCGCCTCTCTGAGCTCAGATGGGTCAAGAGGAGAAGAAGCTGGGGTCCAGAGCTCTCCACTGGGGGCAGAGCCCGGCACCTGCCCTGGGCGACAACCACACACATGCTCTGGAAGTTTCTGTCCAGACGTGAAGAGACAAGGAGAGTATTCTAGGGTCTGGGCAGGTGAAGAAAGCATGG